CAGCGAATTGCAAGCATTGTTGGATGAGGATGACGCTCAAACTCAACAACAACTCGCGGATCAATTGAATGTGACACGAGAAGCCGTCTCCATACATTTTAAATCCATGGGAAAGATCCAGAAGATGGGAAAATGGGTTCCACATGAACTGAATGAAAGACAGCAGGAAAATCGAAAAACCACTTACAAAATGCTGCTCGACAGATACAAAGGAAAGTCATTTCTCCATCGAATTGTGACTGGCGATGAAAAGTGGATATATTTTGAGAATCCTAAGCGTAAAAGATCATGGGTAACTCCAGACGAACCATCGACATTGACAAATCGCTATGGCCGGAAGACAATGCTCTGTTTAGTGGGATCAGAAAGATGTCATCTATTATGAGCCGCTAAAACCTGGCGAAACCGTTAATACTGAACGCTACCGACAACAAATGATCAATTTGAATCAAGCTTTGCGTGAAAAACGATCGGAATATCAAAAAAGGCAACAAAAAATGATTTTGTTTCATGATAATGCACCATTACACACAGCAAAACTGGTCAAGGAAACGATTGAGGCGTTTGGTTGGGAAATACTTTCGCATGCGGCTTACTCACCAGACTTGGCTCCGTCCGATTATTACTTATTTGCATCGTTGGGACACGCACTTGCTCAGCAGCGCTTCACTTCTTACGAAGATGTACGAAAATGGCTAGATGACTGGTTTGACTCAAAAGAGCAACAATTTTTTTGGCGTGGCATCCACAAATTGTCAGACAGGTGGGAAAAATGTTTAGCTAGCGATGGGCAATACTTCGAATAAAATATTTTTTATCGTTTTCATGCAATAACCGTGTATTTTCTATTAAAAAATTCCGGTTTCATATTTACATACCTGGTAACAATAACCCACTTGTATGCAAAACGTACACTATAATATTATTAGCAAAGATTTCGCGAGAGATATTGAGTATTAAATATTGAATATTAAAATAGATGAAATCGTATAACATTTATGATCTTCTTACGTATCCCTTACATAGAAATTTAATATTAATACTGGCCAATTAATCGCTTATTTTCAGTATTAAAATTACGGTTAACAATACTTCTAATACTCAAAATAAGTGATTAATTGGCCAACACTAGTATTAAATTTCTATAAGGAATGATTATTATGTCAATAACAAATAAAATTATAAAAGAGGGAAGCGGAGAAAATTCAGGTTAAAAAAGAATTTACTTTCTAGGGTATACGTCGGTATGATGTCATTGATTAGTTTATAATTCTGAACGATCGTTGAACCCACGCCTAGTATCAGAACAATAAGTAGGTCAGTCTCCATAGCGGACCAGTAAGTCTTTACTATAAACCGGTATTATGAAATTACTCCGATCTATCGGGACATGTCACGTCATCGTGTGTAATTTTGAAATATCTGTCACGTTTCTTTTCACATTACATTATAAACATCGCGAACAGGTAATCTCTAAGAACATCATCGTAATTTCTGAGAAAATGACGAAATGCGGGATGACACCCAGTTGGACACGAGCGATTCACAGCGCTTGAGACTACAAAGCTCCTAAGCACCGATCGCTGTGATTGGTGGTGTCCAATCGAGACGTGGTCAATCGGGATCACCCCCGAAATGCGTATGCGTGCAATAAAAATATATATATAATAATTTTTTTCAAAAAGAAAGACTCGTCGACAAAAATTATCAATTTTCTTAAATTTTTTATCTATGTTTATTACATTTTCGTATTTCATCAGTTGATTTATGTAACACATCACTCAATAAGTCTCGGGCCTAACTAATAAAACAACAACTTTTAGGTAAAATTCGACTTTATTCATCAAAATAGTCTCCTTCTAGGGTGATACACTGATTCCAACGCTTCTCTAACAATTCGATGCCTTTTTTGTAGAACGGTTTGTCTTTGGCCTCAAAATACGCCCCAGTTTCCGCAATAACCCCCTCATTTGATCTAAATCTCTTTCCCTGGAGTATTCTTTTGAGGTCTGCAAACAGCCAGAAATCGCTGGGTGCCAGATCTGGAGAATATGGTGAATGGGGAAGCAATTCGAAGCCCAATTCGCGTACTTTTACCAATCAACACACGAAATTCAGATTTTTCCATTGTTTTGAAAAATGCAAAAGTAGCGTCACTTAAATCACTGTAACTTGTAAAGTAAAAGTCCGATTGTCATGAAATTTTAACTCATATCGTTTGAAGGTTAGTACTTTCTAAAAATTATATGGATTTGTTATTAGTGCGCCATCTATTATGTCAGGCCCGGGACTTATTGAGTGATATGTTAGAAGAAAGTCGCCAATACCGACATACCTCTTTGTTTTTAAATAATGTTTCTTAAACAAAAGGTAAAAATAAAACTTTAAAAATATAAGTACAAACTAAAAAGTGTCTTCTATCAGATAGTATAAGCAGTTTTTATAATACTGTTTGCAATTTTGCAATAATTAATTTTTTCGTAAAATAAACAAAAATGAGCGTCTGACAAAATAGGCTCCAAAACTGACGCAGTAGGCAGTGATGCTACGTATTCCTATTCCTTTTTATTTTAATTATCTGTATAAAATACCTACAAGTTGAATGTATATAAGATTTTCTAGAATCTTTTCATTTCATTATAAAACATTTTTATTGAATTATATGCATATTTACTTTATGCTGTTCTGTAAGATGCAAATATGTAATGTGATAATTTTTCAAGAATTTTTCCATATATGCACAATTGCCTTCAGCTCCAATAGAGCTATTTGACACTATAAAGCAACATTATAAAGATTAAGTTAGCTTATGGTCTGTTTTACAGACAGGTATGGCGGTTTATGCTTACCCCAATTTTAAATTTAAAATTGTATTATGAAAAAACTAAGAAAAAAAATATAAATAAAACTGATTTAAAAAACTATAAGCATTTAAAACGACATAATATTATTAATAATATAGTCACTATTATTTAAACTACGCAGTTCGCAAAAGAAAATCGTAAAGAATTTTATTTTCGCATTCATAGAATTCGTTTTTAGCTGATTTGGTATACAAACAAGCCACAAATATACGAATTATGAGTTTGTACTTCTTTAATTAGCTAAATAGATCATGATTTTATTAGTATTAATAAAGTGCAATAGTTAGTTTATGAGAAATAAGAGGATGTCGCTTTAGGAGACCTACGTCAGTATCGGAAATATTCCTCCATACGTTTTTCGTTTAAAGTCACGATTCTCAAAGGCATGTAGAGAACAATAATAGAGAACGGGATGGAAATGAGGAGGATCACCAACATATCAACATGAGATGAATAAGGAGAAAAATAGAAAGAGAGAGAAGGGGGAGAGGGGGGGGGGGGGGGG